CGAACGAAACAAAACCAAACGTAGTAGGTTACGTTACGTAAAGGTAACGTACTCTCCTACCGAAACGAACGAACGAATAGTACACGAGAACGTACCACCTACCGCCTCCTCTCTCTCTCTCTCTCTCTCTCTCTCTCTACACTAAAAGCAACACAGTGGAGGATTTCACACTCTTAATACCACCATTTTCCTTTCCCTCTTTCTGTCTCTACTTCTCCACCCAATTTTTTCCTTCTATTTTCTCTCTCCTCTTCCTGGTTTGGGTTTTATGTTTCCCTCCGATCGCCATTATTATTACCTTCTCTTGCTTTTATTTGAGTCCGGGATTTTTGAAAATGATAAATGTACTAAATGACGCGAATACCACTACACCTCCACTTAATAACAGATGTATCCTTCGTTTTGACCGGCTCCCATTTTTTCCTAAAAAGATATATGCGTGTCTTTTTTTTCTTTGAGAGAATATCATTTCTTTTTCTATAAAAAAAAAAAAAACTTCTGCTTCGGAAAAGGATCTTTTTCCAGCCCCTTTGAAATATTTTTACTGTATTCGGGTTTGTCCTCATGATGACTTGTAATGTCAGTTATATCCTTAATTTCTCCTCCTGGACTATCATAACATGAGATAATAATAATGAAAAAAGTCTATATAAGGTTGCAACTTTAAAATGTAGAATTACATATGCATCTCAAAAATCCATCGAAAAAGGTTATTTTAATGTTGAAAAACCTCTATTTGATCATCTCAACATCGAGTTGTATGAATATGAAAAAAAAAAAAGATTTTGGGTTCCAAAAATAGTGCATCTTGCAATACATTATCTAGACCATCTATTTTTTAGATTTTCATATGTTTATAGATCTACTTGGTTTTAACCAATTTTAGAGTTTAAAATTTTATAATTAGACATGAAAAAAGATTTTGAGATACTCCAAAGAGTTATTTGACCAAAATGACATGTTATAGTAAACTTTGGAGGCACGCCTCGATTGGATTGTTTAAGGTTGGAACCTTATAGAAACCGCACCAAATAATAATTGGAAAAAATTTAGCCGAGGCTCTAAACAGTCAAATTAGAGCTCACCTCAAAAATTTCACTAGAAGAGGTTGTTTTGAAGCTTAAATATCCGCAAATTGATCATCTCGACATCCAGATACATGGGCATGAGAAAAAAAATGGATTTCAAATTTTGGAAATACTGCATCTTGTAACGTGTTTTTTTACCGTTAGTTTTTCAAATTTTCATAGATCAACTCCATCTGCACTATTTTTAAAGCTTTAAATTTTATAATTAAAAATAAAGATATATTTAAGGTTATCACAAAGATTTTGAATATTGAAACCACATTTCTCGACACCATTTGAAGCTACACTTTACTTTGAATGTTTAGAGCCTCGGCTATATACAAATGCACATGCGGAGATCATATTTAGCAAAGGGAATAGTTTTTATAAGGTCGCAACCTTAAACTGTAGAAAAAAGGCACACCTCAAAAATTCATATAGAAAAAAGGATGATTGAAAACCTTTTAATTGATCATCTCGATCTTGAGATGTATGAATGTAACAAAAAAAAAAAAAACAAAGTGATTGTAAAGCACCAAAAATGGTACATCTTGTAGTACTATCTAAACTGTCCAGTCTCAAAATTTTAATGTATTTATAGATTTGCTCGATGTATACTATTTTTTGAGTTTTAAGTTTCATGAGTAGATGTAAAGTAGTTTTTTAGGTCATCATTAAAATTTCCAACACCAAAATTACTTCTTTTGATGAGCTTTAGCGGTGCAATTTAATTGGATTATTTAAAGTTGACACCTTATACAAACCATACCATTTAGCATAAACATGTAATGGCGATACATTTGTAAACCAAAATGGTGTTTTGTCTGGATCTAAAGAGTGCAGCCCAAAAAAAAAAGGAGTCAAAGCAACACCAATGGTTGATTGAGAAAACGTGAGTTTCTCAAATTGAGCATAAGACGACGATTCCAATACTCCAATGTAGGAAAAGCACAATACGAGAACGGAACCTGGGCCTAGTAATTCGGACCGAGGAACCCGACCCTAATCGGGAAGATGGCCAAAAAAATGTTTAAAAATATATAAAAAATTAAATAATTATTTAAAATATGAAAAATATGTTTAGATTGAAATTAAACAAATCCAATCTACATGAGGTTAAAACAGTAGTGAAAAAATTAACTTTGAAAAATCAATCGATGATTAGGGGTATTTTAAAAATAATAAAAAAGAAAAAATATATAAAAATAAATATTCATGGCTGAAACACTTTCCAAACTTTGCCAAGATGATAGAAAATATAAAAAATATATATTACAAGTAAATTTCTTATTTGTTTGGAATTTATGTTATTTTTTTGAATTTTATTTTAAGATCCTAAGCTTGATCACCAAATTCAGGATATAACCGAACTAACTAGGCTAACGGCTAGGTAGACCAAAAGAACCAGCAAGGTTGAAGAAAATCCTATGAGGGAAGTAGCAAAAAATGCACGAGCAGGAGGCCTACTTTGGCAGGTCAGGTAGGGGGTCCAACTCCTGGAAGTTAAACCTCTAAATCGGCTAAAAACGCGCTCACCCAGTGTGCAAGTCCGGATAACTCACCTGGGTCCAATTCGACTGCTTTTCCTACACTGGATGAGTCTATATGTACCTTTTCATGTGGAATATAAGGATGGCCTTCAAAGCTAACCAAATAAACCTACGTATACAAACAGATGATCCAAACATGGTATTTGCATAACTTGAGTATCATTAAAAGCTATCCAAATAATCTCGTTTCAATAACTAAGTTTTAACATAATCAAAGTTTGACATAATAAGATTATGACTCTAAACCTTAATTTATTTACTTAAGAAATCAAATGACCCATTAACTATTAATACATACTAATGCCCGGGTAATGAGTCGCAACGAATTTGCCGAAAATAACCCAAAAAGGCTTAAAGTAATGAACAAAAGCTTCAAGTGAAATTCTTTAAAATTAATAAAAAATATTAATATCTTAAAAATATAGCTTTTTAGTTTTTGAAATTTACCCCTTTTAAATTGTATTAATAAAAATCACTATTTTTTAAAAGAAACAAGTTTTGTAAGAGTTTTGGTCGTTACGGTAGAAACCTCATTTTTTAATCATTTGAAAATTATTGGGAGAAATTCAGCAATTTTCTAGTAAAATTAAGGGAGTTTATCAAATTCATGTTCCCAACTATGAACCTTAATCCTTCTCTATATGTCTACACTATCAAACACATATCGCAAGAATAAAAAAAAGAGCTCATATCTAAAGAGGAATGTAGGGCAGGCGAACTAAAACATTCGGTAGTTGAGAAATATGGCAAGGTACACGTCTAAATAGAAAGAGACACTAGATTAGTTATTTCACTAAATGTTTTTCTATATTTCCAAAATTCTTCCAACCGCTGACACGTTTAATTAACACCTTCAAAAATCTTTCTTAAGGCTCACACCCTCAATTAATTCCTTCAAAATGTAACTCCCCAGTCTATTGAAAAAATGGGTAGGGCTTATCTTCCCCACTGAATTACCCAAAAAAAAAACTCATGATAGATATTATGGTTCCCTCTCCTTCCTAGAATATTGATTTCTATGTCATTAAAAAATGTGAGGTGTAGTCCTATCCTTTCACTTTCTTTCTTTCTTTCTTCTTTTGTTCTTTACCTTCAAAATGTAACACTCCCCAATCTATTGAAAAAATGGGTAGGGCCCGTCTTCCCCACTGAATTACCCAAAAAAAAAAGAAGTCATGATGGATATTACGGTTCCCTCTCCTTCCTAGAATATTGATTTTTATGTCATTAAAAAACATGAGGTGAAGTTGTCACGCGCCAAGAATTTACAATACTGATATTCCTGAGATGTGACAGTTAAAACATATATACATCTCTTGATAAGACAAATTTACAGTGGCAAATTCTTACAAAGTAACAAAAGAAAGTTTAAACACAACTACAGTATCTTCCAAAGTTGATCCTAACGAGCACTCAAAATGAAACCGCAATTATCCTGAAAAAAATGTTTACCATAATTTGATGAGTTTGGCTACTCAGTAAGTGATCATCATAATCTTAAAAATAATCATGATTGAATGATATCAATATTTTCAGAAAAAGATCTATTAACAGAAATGCATTAACATTTTCACTTTAAAAAATGCATAATTAACTATAATCCGAATAATTGAAATGCATATAAAATTTTAATAGCAGTGCATAATTCAAAGGATTTCACAAATTACCCTACCAGCGTCTCAAGTAAGTCACCTATATACCCCATCAGCGTTCTGATGGGTCCACTTAATCCCTATCGGGACCCAAGATAGGTCCACTTAATCCCTGCAGGTCCACTTATACCTCACCGATGTACCGGATGAGTCCACTTAATCCTTGCCGGCGTCCCAGATAGGTCTACTTATACTTCACCGTCGAACCGGATAAGTCCACTTGTATACTTAAAGTATTTCTAAATCTCTTTAAACATTCGAAAGCAGCAGTATCATGTACTCAACATATCACTGAAATTATTAATATAAATTTCACTGACACCATTAATAACAGTCACTTTCAATAACATTTCAAAAATAACCAACCAAATATTTTGAGCTCAAATATAAAAAGGTAGCAATTCGTAAAGACATTATAGCATAGTTACCAATCTAATATGTATAGAAAAACTCTTATAGAAATTCCAGAATACGGAATTATCACAATTTATGAGATGTCAATTCGCAAATAAACATTTCACAGACAATGCTATAATCAATTGCAAACATATCAGCTTTCAAATAATAAGATAGCCATTTGCACATGAATTTTATAATGTCTAAATA